TGAATTATTCCTGATTGAAAGCATTTGTGGAGAAGCAATGTTACTCATATTCTGAATGATTTGAATCTGGCGACTCTAAATGTCTTTATCAACCTCTGAAGGTTCATACTCTGATAATATGTTCCAGTCTCTGGTGACAACTCATACTTAGTAGGCCAAAGGTGTCTCTGGTTCGTACCTTGTACCTAAAAGAGAGCAGTCTTGTCAAAGCGTCAGATTTCTGGGAAAAGTCGACGAGGGTTTCATTTTGCAAGGCTCAAAGAATGGTGATGTGGCATCTTCAGTCTGTTCTATATTTTGGTAGATACCTAATAATTCAAAAGGTGATATGAACAAAGCCTTTATTCAGTGGACAATGCTTCTAAGCATATCCATTCTCCATTATCTTTATTAGCATGCTTCTTCACTAAGTTAGCTCTTATGCTCAAATCTTCCAACGACTATTTCTCCACCTCTATAATAGGAAGATGGAGATTTCAAGGAAGATTACAACACTACAATTTAATATATTATCTTGAGCATAACTTTGAGCTTTTATTTGTAACTGTTATTGCATAAGATCTTAAGATTTCTTATCTTTGTATAACTTAGAAATATTAAAAGGTTAAGAATCTTTGTGGTTGTTGCACAACTGTTATACTTTTGATTATGTATATAAGTATAGAAGTTATATTTTCTACTAAACTATTTATTTAAAGTAGAGGAAGTCTCTTGCCTGCGTGTTTGAGCGTTGAAGTTATTTTCCTATGTACTTGAGCAGTGAAGTCTCTTTCTAGGTTGATCGAACATAAGTCTCTTGCAAGGTTGCTGGAGCAGAAGTCTCTTTCTAGGTTGATTGAGCATTGAAGTCTTATGCAAGTGTGCTTGAGCAAATCGTAATCTATTTGGTTATAGTGATAATCTCTAGTTGAGGTAAGAGAACTAGACTACTCTCAATTGAGGAAAAGAACCAAGATAATCTTTGTGTGTTATTTGCGTTTACTTCTGATCACTAATATATCTACTACTATAATTATTTCTAATATCAGACTAGGAACATGGTTCAGAATCTGAAGTTGTTATAACTATTTCTTAATGCACCCTATATGTTTCTACTGCACCACGTGAATTTCCACAATTGCCCCCTATTTTCGGAGATGCATCTCCAAACACACAAAAAAGGTCAGTTAACGTTAAAATATTTCAGAGATGTATTTCTGAAACATTTTGGAGGTTAAGTCGCGTCAGACTCTTCTCCTTCCTCATTTTTCATTTTACTCAAACTTAACTAAACCTCTATCAAATTTCTTCTTTATACCAAGTCAAATTTCATTCAACATGACTTAAGAGAACTCAAGGGAACATCAATCTTCATCTGTAACATCATCCAACTTCATTAAAAACATCAATTTCTTGTAAGTTTTTTGAGTTTTCGATAAATGTTTGAGTTTTGGTGTAAATGAGTAGAAATTAACGATTAGGGTTAAAAATGAGTAGAAAACACATTTAAGATAGTTTAGTCATAGTGTATTAGTTGTTTGTTGGCTGAAAATGATTTTCAAAACAATTTTTCTTGAGTTTGCATGTGGTTCATTATGCCATTGACGCAACTTCTGAGTTGCACAAATTTTCGGAGATGTATCTTCGGAATTTCCTAAAGAAACTCAACCATTGAAAAATTCTAGAGATGCATCTCCGAAATTTTCGGCAGTAACCTTTTTTTTTTATTTTCTTGCCTGTGTGTTGTTTGTCAGCACTGATGGTATGTCTTACTTTAACTTACAGGCATAATGACTGATATACATAATAGACTGAGGCATGACATGGTTGCTTAGCACGCATCCGTTAGACTGGAGAAGCGTCAGCAAGTTCCAAAGGCTCCAGGTCCCTTTGATCAAGCATAATTGACTACTTATGGGGCCCATGCTTCTCATGAGACCACTCCATTTTCTTTTTCCCGTAAGAGATGGGATTCGGCATCTGACGTATCACTTCCCCATCCTCACGTCAGGTTTAACTTGTGCCACCTCTCACGGATGATGTTGTTGATCTAGTCACACATCCTATTGATGATGCTGCTGATCCAGTGCAACCTTTGAAGGGTGAGACTGTTGCAGATGCTGAGCCAGGGCATTTTCGAGGAGGTCCATTTGATTTGTCCTTACTGCCTTGCATCCAGACCGCTAGACATCTGGGATGAAGAGGTAGAATTAGTTGGATTCTTTACGTTAATTATAATTTTTAACATTGATTATTCCTGACAAATTCCAAGAGCGTAATCCTCGAAGTTTCTTAACCATAGGAGAAAGATTGTTGCCTTGCCTCAGCAGGATTAGGATTGGTTTCAGTCGGTTTTGTCCTTGTATGGCCTGAAGGACTTGTGCATAACTCGATTACAATACGGTCAGAGACCTCATTGTTTCATCTCCCGCACGGTGAGATGTCTATTACACTCGACGATGTCTCGTGTTTGCTACATCTTCCAATTAGGGAGAGATTCCTAAATCATGAGAGGATTACCAAAGACGAGGCACTCGAGATGATGGTAGAGTATCTTGGGGTTAATCTAGGGGAGACAAAGAAGAAGGTTGATAAGACCAGGGGTGCGCATGCTAGATTTGAATTTCTGAAGATGATATATGATGCTAAGATCCTTAGATCATAGGAGGCTGATGATGAGTAGGTGGCGCTCCATAGATCGCATGCATTAAGAACATACCTGCTTTATTTGGTTGGCACTACGACTTTTATGGACAAAAGTGTCACTTATACAGACGTCGTCTACCTACGATACTTCGTGGATCTCGAGCAGATCTATGAGTACAACTAGGGGCGACTTGCTTGGTTTACCTGCATTCGAAGTTGAGATAGGGCCATATGTGGAAGACGAAGCAGGTCACAGGCAGCGTGACACTAGTGGCGGTAATAATTATTGATCTTTGATTTTTTTTTCATTTCATATTTGCAAAGCTATTATCGATGATTTGTGTGTTCCAAACTTTTCATTTCAGACTTGGATCCTCCAACACTTCTCGTGCATCTCTGGCTGGGCGAGTGTACCTGAGTATACTGTGGATATGTCGTGTGCTACTGCTTTTATCCTGCTCAAAGGGAACCATGTGACCAAGCCTTTCAGAGTCTATCACGATTGTTTGGTTGCCCGGAACATGCACTTCAACAACTATGTTGATCACCGTCATACGCGTCTAATTGACAAGATAGTGCTATACTCTGAAAGGTTGGCCTACGGATCACGTCTGAGTGCTTTTCATTTGCCCGAGTGTGTCATGCGACAATTCGGCTACACTCAGACTATTCTCAGACACCATGTTGTCTTTGCTCCTCCTTCCTTGACACATAGACAAATAGAGGACATGTTTTATGATAATGAGAGTCATCTAGTATCGGAGGAGGCACGAGCTACCATAGTTGAGAGTGACTGGAACTATGTCGAAGGGTACATCAGATGGTTCTTCAAGGTGTCATGTCTGTATATTTGTGCATGCTACTCCAGGAGATCCGTCGAGACAAGCTCATCAGGAGGTACTAAAGAAGGAGCAAGCACAACTAGATCATACCGATGATGTCTTGCCTAGGCGTCGTCGCATAGTGAAGACTGCGCAGACAGACATTGACATAAGTATCTTCTCTGATGGGTCTGATGTCAGGTGAGTCATAAATGCCTTAACGACGAAGGCACATGGCACATTGTTGTACCAGAGACATCGCCGGAGAACAGGGGAGATTGATGGTTAATGAGGTAGACGAGACACACACAGTAGTCTCTTATTATATAGTTGTAGTACTATGGTATATACTTTATTTTGACGATCTCACTAGTTTATTTATATTGAATGTACGATATTTTCGACATTAATTGATATTTTATTTTTGTATGGCATTTTTGGCCCATCTGAAATTATCTACATCTTTTTTTTCTTCTTTCGATTGTAAAATATACTTCATTTGAATACAGATAAATAACATATAACATGAAATACATGTTCTAATAAGTTACGGAGATGTATTTTTAAAATATTTTTAAAATATTTACAAAGATGCATCTCCGATACAATTCAAATGTAAATAAATTATGAGTGACATGTATTAAAATATTTTAAATTGTTTCGAAAAAATTTCAATATTTATTCAAAAATTAATGTGTCGAAAGATGCATCTCCAAAAACTAAGAGCGTTTAAATAATTTGGCGTGATTCCTAAGAAATATTAAGGGTGTCTTAAGAAATTCTCTAGATTTAAGAGACAATGTCTTAACACTCCTAAATAAATATTAGGTTAACTCAAGAAATACAAACTTCATTGCATGTTATATAACATACAAAGAAGAAGGTTACTTTGTTAATTCTAGAAAAAAGTTATTACCAGCCTTACACCCCTAAAATAAAATAAATATTAGAATAAAGTACAATGTCTTAGCTCAAGAAATACAAACTTCATTGCCCATATAGCATTCTTTTAAACAACATTTTAAAAAAGTTATGAACATTTACCAAACACGTTTTCTAAAACATACAAGGAAGGTCCCCTTTGTTATTTCTAGAAAAAGTTATTTCCCAACGATAACACATTCCTAAAAAATAGATTATAGAATATAGTAACAATGTAATCACTCAATAAATTTTAGAAAAAAATAAATATAAACTTCATTGCCTTTACCTTGATTTAAACAAAACGAATCAACACACATTTAGCATGTTGAATCTCACCAATGCATTATCAAGCATTGAAATGCATGAAAAACCAAAAACTTGTAGCATAAATAATTTTTTTTTAAGTTCCAGCAGCAGCAGTTAACAAATTAAGAACTGATGTCCAGATGTCCGGCGGGGTAGCTAATAAATCCATACGCAAAATTTTAAACTACATCTTCCTGAGTATCAATACCTGCCTATAAAAAATCCAAAACAAGGGCTCTATATAAAGGCATTCAAGAGTTACTGTATAAAGGCATTCCAGAGGCACTTCTTTTTTCTTCTATCAGGAAGATAGATTCTTAAGCATTAAGCTAACTTGCCTTTCAATGAACCGATTGGGATCTTATTCAAGACCTTACTCAAGACCTTTTCATCAAACACTGCATACTGCTTTTTAATCTCGATGAATGCCTTTTCTGCCAGAGGGTCTATCTTGTCCTCATACTTGTCATAAACGAAAGGAACTGTGTGCAACAAAACAAAAGCTGCAAATGAAGAATATACAAATCAGTAAAAATTTAGATCATAACAACAAAAATGTATTAAATCAGTTTGATAAGAATTATACTTACTTATGTAGAACAAGGTCAAGAAATTGGCCCAGTTTCCCAATTTTGATAGAATCCACAAGCCAACAACAACCTAAAAAAGCATCAACAACAAAACCATTAGCAAAAGTGAGCAACATGACAACAATAGATCTATACCAAAACTATAATAGCTTTAAATTAATAAGTCATTATACAAAAAATATATGAGCTAGCAAGTTAGCAAGTGACTTACAGAGAGGAATGTCTTCAAATCTCTTCCAGAACCAATATCGCGCAAGGCAGAAAATCCTCTGTTAATTTCAATTCTCAATGCAGATGCAAACTGCAGAAATGGTTCCTCAGGAAGATGAACTACTGGGATGTGAGGTGGAGTCCTACAAAATATTATTTAACATTCATCACATGCAAATGATTAGATAAGAGCTTAATCTAACATGCAAAACTGTGCCTTAAATCAATAAATGATTAGATAAGAGCTTAATCTAACATGCACAATTGTGCCTCAAATCAATAAATCAACAGGTTCTGAAGAATATATCTTACTTGTGAATAAATGTATGAGCATTGGACCACAAGAACAGTAATGCAAGAACCAGAATCGAACTGTGACAAATGAGAGTAAGAAAGTGATACTCAAGCAGCTCAAAAAACACCCAAATAGCAGTTGCTACACCGAGTGCCCCACCCGATATCTTCTTGTTCTTCCATAAGAAGACATCAGCAGCTGCAATTCACAGTTGCTCAGAAGCTAGAAGAGCAATAATCTAACACAAAATTGAAAATTCAACTCTTCTTCTGGAGGCATATAACATGATTCATGATTCAATAATAAGCAAGATACAAATCAGCAAAACTAATGCAGTAAAAGCAAGAATCACAGCATTCCACACCCAGTTTTGACATCTGAGATAAATCAAGTGACTCATAGATATGATTCAATGAACTCAGCTAGCAAAAAAAATCACTAAAAAAACATGATTCAATTCAATGGACTAGCTTTTACTAGAAAATAGACCAAAAACAAATGGTATGCTAGATTCAAAAGTAGTAAATGACGAGATCTTCAATTCAATTCCATAAATAAATGACTTAAAAGATCTAAACCAAACACAATTTTCATTCCCAAGTAATAACATATCAAAATGTAGCATTCAAAATATTACTATTTTGCACAGATCTAAACCAAAACAATAAAGTAAACAGTATCTAGAGAGAGTGATAGTGATTCTTACACTTTCCGCCGCCAAGAACGGAATGGACTGGCTTCTCCCTTCCAAAAAGGCGAAAAACCTTGTCCTTAACCGATGAAGCAGCCGGTTTAACGGAATCGGAATGAGAATCGGAGTCGGAATCGGAGGACGATTCATCAAAGTGAAGCTTCTCTGTGATCTTTTCAAGCAACGAATCGCCGCCAGCAGCTGCCGTCACGGTGCTTCCGGATTCGTCAGCCATTTTTCTCCGAAACCCTAAATCTCAGGAAAAGGAATAAAATTGAAAAAAAAGGAAAAAGTTCTTTCGATTTTGGGGACAGTTTAGAAACTAGTGTATGTGGTAAGAGGCTAGAGTCTCGTGGCCGTTTTTATAGTGTTGTGTTTAACGAGGTTTTGATTCCGAAGCTGAGGTTCGGGAGATTTTTGAATCTCGTACGGAGTAGACGGCGTTTGAGATTTTGAGTATTTTTATTTGTTTGATCTTTTTGACGCCGTTGATATTAACGGTAATTAAAGTTTAAATTTCTAATTTTGCTGTTTGTTCGGTGAAATTTGTTACTAATTGTGTAATTATTTTCTCTATATATCCTCTTCAAATTAAATCATATCAATTCCTTTAATACAACTTAATTGATAGAAAGAGATATGGAGTATAGAGGCACACCCAACACTTATTAAGATTTTGAGAAATTAACCTTAAAAAATTGATATCAAAAAATTTGATTCAATACAAATTTAAAAAAATTTACGCTGTCACGATAAATGTTTATGTATTAATTTCTATTTTATTGATAATTTCTTTCAAAAGGAAAATATACTTTATATCTTTGTTTCAAATAAGAAATATTTTTTTCAATATAGCTATAATTTTATTAAAAGTAGTATTTTTTTCAAAAAAATTAATAAACATATTTTTAATATGCTCTAAATTTAATACATGCTTTAATTTATAGAAGGATAATTGTAGTGGGATAAGGCTGGAAATGAGTCGAGTCGAGTCGAACTCACCTCAGCTCGGCTCGACTCGTTATGAATTGTTCGAGTTCGAGTTCAACACGAACTTTTTTTAAGCTCAAACTCGACTCGTTATAAGTTCACGAACAGTTTGGTTCAACTCGTTAGGTTCATCTCATTAGGTTCAACTCACATGATTCACGGACTTAACTATTTTTTTTTACATATATATATATATATATATATATATATATATATATATATATATATATATATATATATATATATATATATATATATATATATATTTTAGTATATTTGACATTTTAAATAAATATATATTTTTAAAATAAAATAAAAGTTATCATATTGAAATTTAACTTTATCTTCGAAATCTACTAATTCAAAACCTACACAACTTTCAAGAGATACATTTGAGAGTCTAATTCAAAAACTACTAAATTGAAGATTAAATTTGTCTAAGATTTGAAGTAAGTATTTAAACCTAATCTTAAAGACAGTATAATTCTTCTCATATGTAATCGAGTTGACTCATGAACCTAACGAGTCGAACTATGTATAGTTCAAGTTCAGCTCATTTAGTTAACAACTTAATTTTTCGCTCATACTCAACTCATTTCGTTCATGAACCTAGTTTAACGATTTAATTGTCGAATCGAATTCCGAACTATTTTCGAGTTGGTTCGATTCATTGTCAGCCCTATAGCGGGATAATGATGAAGGTTTTGGAGATGTACGCATTATTTTTTAGAGTCGCTCTGTTATCAAGTCGAGTGTCTTTTTTCTAGTTCAATTGTTCTTCGAGAAAATTTTACCTCATATACTTACCTTTATCCTGATATTCCTATATTGTATAAAAAAATATCAATTTTGTCCTTGTATAATTTATTTTTTACCCGAAGACTTTACAAAAGAATTTTGGTAGTCATTTTTCAAATATTTTTTAACTTTTTTTTTGTATATCAGAAGACTTTACAAAAGAGTTCTGCTAGTCAATTTTTTTTACCGGAAGATTTTGCAAAAGAGTTTCGGTTGTCATTTTTTAAACTTTTTTTTTTAAAAATTGTGTATCGAAAGACTTTGTAAAAGAATTCTGATAGTCAATTTGTGTACCCGAAGACTTTACAAAAGAGTTTCGGTAGTCATTTTTAAACTTTTTTTTTGTGTACGGGAAGATTTTGCAAAAGAGTTTCGGTAATCATTTTTTGTGTACCGGAAGACTTTATAAAAGAGTTCTGTTAGTTATTTTTAAAATATTTTTTAACTTTTATTTTGTGTACTGGAAGACTTTTCAAAAGAGTTTTGGTAGTCAATTTTTATGTACCGGAAGACTTTGTAAAAAAGTTCTGGTAGTCAATTTTTGTGTACCAGAAGACTTTGTAAAAGAGTTTCGGTAGTAAGTTTTTATAATATTTTTTAATTTTTAATAAATTATTTATATGAGGATATTTTGGTCAAAAGGAATATAATGTAGGGGTAACGAAATAAATGATGGGGTATGGGGTAAAATTTTCGTCCCTCGATTAGATTTATTGCCCAACTTTCCATTTCCCCGTCCATAACGTGTGTTTGTGGGTATAATGTTCAATAAGTGAAATAATAGTGCCCAAAGAGACATAGGGTCTAACATTTTCTCATGGATTTTCCAATATTAACCATTCATTCCCACAAGGATCGTGGGGAGATGGGAAGACTTGGTTCTCTTGATCTAAGGCTCTTGGGAGGTTATGTATACAAGAGGACTTCAATACAAAAGGGGATCTCTCTAATACATAGACAAACCACCATAAAGAGCTTATCACCACCCCAATGTGAGTTAGTTTTAACCCTCAACAAACCCTTAGCATCTGACAACCCTAATCCATCTAGGCTTGTTACGCTCATTGTACTTTTGTCCAGTACAATTGGTGCCCACAGTAGGGCCCGATAAAATTGACATGGGTCACCCTCACTACACCTGACCAAAGTATTATCTTTACCCTCACCCACACCAAGATGAACAGGAAGACGACTACTCTGGCCAACAAAGAATTGAACGACGAAAGAGACGTCATGGCGGAGACGCATGCCGCCATGGACGACCTTTAGCGTTAGAACAAAAGTTGAGAAGACAATGTTCACCATATCCAACAACGCCAACAAAGAGTTGATATGGTAGACGAACTAGAGGCCCTGAACCCGCAATATATATTGGACGAGATATGGGAGGCGTCTGTCCCTAAAAACTTTAAATCGTCATCGTTGGCTAAATTTGACGGACGCAACGGCTCACGCGAGCATGTGGCCTCCACCAACACCTAGATGACCATCATTATAGCACTTTACTCCCTGAAGTGCAATCTTATGTATGCAACTTTTAGGGACAAAACTCTAAGATGGTATATGGGCCTTCCCATACTCTCTATCACCAACTATCAAGACCCGGTGAAGCAATTAGTCCATCAATTTTTCGCAGGCAGGCACCGGAAGCTAACCACCACCATTATGTTCAACATACGTTATGGGGGCATCAAATTCATTTAGAGTTTATCTCGTCCAATTAAATGAGGCGACCATCATGGTGGTCTACCCCAATCAGGAAATGAATCCCTCACCCAAAAACTAGTGACAACGTTGGAAGAGTTAGTAACGTGAGCAGAATATTACATAAAGAGCAAGGAAAGTAATGTCGAGAAGAAGGTCAGTGGATAATTTATTAGCATGTGTACTAGTGTTGTTTTCAAAGGAACAAAAATAAATTAGTCTCCTCAGGGATTACGAACTTAAAACAAGGTATGTTGTGTGATGTGATTAAATAATAAATGGGGGGTTTGCAGGTTGTTTTTGTTATAAACACGAGAAATATGTTTTGATAACAATAATGAGAAAAGCGGTCAGTTTGTATCATTAAAATCCCTTGTTTCCACTTGATTGACGAAACATACACTAACAGACATGCACTAACTATAAAGTTATATGACAGATTAACTTAATGGTTTAACCCAATCCCTTGGCGTGTAGCTCACTATCTTAATCGTCAATTTCCCGATCCCTCGAGTCAATTATACCATTAAACCAAGCAACACAACGCGTTAATCCCTAAGTCACAATTCTTAATCATACTATCCCTAGTCAATTAGCAAATTCAACCATTAAAGTATGTCAAATAGATATTGTGCATACCTGAAAATTATGTTGACTAGCCGAGGTCTAAGCCTGGCGATACCGAGTATGAAACAGGACACCACATGCTTACTTATACGTCGAGGTAAGCTAGAGACAAGTCAGCTTTGCATTAGACGAGAATTACCTCAGTAATACAAAAAAGACATATGTGCAGCTCGAATACCACACCAAAGGTCACAAAGGATGGTTATGAAAACACATATTATGACTAAGGAGTTGTAATTTGAAATGCTGGCAAGCAGATCACATATGTCCTAAGAGATGTTGAGACACTTGATCTCTACTTTAAACACAGTGACAATAAAGAACAGAATACAAATCGCAGAAAGTAAATAACACACAAAATTGTTTACCCAATTCGGTGAACAAGAACACCTACGTCTAGGGGCTTCCAAGCCAGGAATGAAATCCACTAGATAGTATTAATTCTAAGCAAAACAACCTCCGGTTTTCAACTTATCACTTAATCACTACCCGTGCTTAATTTCTACCTAAGACTTTTCCTAGGTATGAGAGACTCTTCTCAATTCCCTTTCAATCACAACAGTGACTGAAATTATAACTTAACGTAAATTGTCCAGCTCTAGTATCAACACAATACAAGAGAGGCTCACAAAGTAAAAACCCTAGTACACACCAAGCAATAGTGCAAAAAACACAAGCCCCCCCCCCCCCTCAAACAATTCAAACAGTTCCTTCTTCTGCAAGAAACAGATTAGAACACTCCCCCTCAATGGCAGTAGTCAACAGTAGTAAGTATCAGTGTTTGATGGTTACACAAAGTTAGTATTACTCCTCCTTTTTAGCCATAATATGACAAAGATAGTTAAATTAACTAAACAACCAAGTCATAACAAAAAAGATAAAGTTACCAATCAAGCACATGAAGTGCCAAAACAACAATTATCTTAGGCATTAAGCCCTTACATCACCACAAAAAAATAAGACTATGTTCAGATGTCATCCTCAGTATCCTTATCATCATCATCATCTTCTTCTTCCTCATCATCAGCCTCAACTTCAATATCTTCAGCTTCATCCTTATTAGCATCATTAGTCCCACCACCAGCTTCAGTTCCCTTGTCCTGCTCAGCTGTCAAA